ATTGTTTTTTATTTGTTTTCCTCTCAGCTGTTCTGATTGCATTATTTCTGTTGTCCTGTCTTATAAGAACTTATTTGTTCTTCTGCATTTTCTAGTCTAGTTTTTTACAGCCTTTATCTCAGCTTTCATCTCAGCAAATGAGTTTTCCAATTTTAATTGGTTCATTTTTATAGTATCAATTTCCTTTTTGACATATTCTTTATCTGGAAAATCAATTTCTTTTACTTACTTTAGTACTTTGATTACTCCATTTTACAAATCATGATCTAGTAGATGCTCAAGGTCTATTGCATTCATCATTCTTTCAGTGGATTTCTATTGTACTTTTAATTAGGAGTGGTTTCTCTATTTCTTCATTTTGCTTATATCTCTCTGGCACTATGGCTTATGGAGTATCTGTTATCAACTCTTATCCTTAAGGAGTTTATTTATTTATTTATTTATCTATCTATCTATCTATCTAAAGTAGACGCAGATATAAAACTAAAAAAAAGTAATTTAAAAGAAGACAATAGTCTGAAGAGTGAATATAATCAATAACAGAAGAACAAATCTAAGAAAAATAAAAATTAAGTTGAGATATATATATATATATATATTTGAGATATATTTTAAAAACCTTAAAAGAAGAAAAAACATATTTGAAAACAGAGTATAATTGATAACAGAAGAACAAAACAAAAAGAAATAAAAATAAAATTGAGACAAATTTTTAAAATAATAATAAAATATTTTAAAATAAAATTTTTAAAGGAATTAATAGAGACATAAAAAGTTATATAAAAGTAAAAATTTTAAAAGTAAAAGAAAATAGAACAGAAAAAGGGGTGGATGTGTTCCTGTGGAGACTGTGTGCTCTTAATAATTTTGTCAAGAGGTACTTCTTAATTATGGGTAGTTTCCAGATCTTACTTCTGTGCCTTTTGCCTGTTATCCCTTTAGTTTCGGGGTGTTGCCAGTGACCTGGTAGTCAGAGTCTGCCCTGGCTATTGAATGGGGCCTCCTTTTTCTTTGTGGTTGCCACTGCTGCTGCCCTCACTCTGCTGCAAAAACTCAGCTCATTGGTTCCAGAGACCCTCTGGTCACACCCCTGGTCTGTGTTTCTCCCAGTGCTGGTTGGCAGGTGAATCTCACCCTCTTCTGATGCCGCAGTCTGGTACCACACTCCTGCAGAGTAGTCATATGGGTCATGCCCCCTCCCAAATCCATGGTCCATCACCCAGCTCCTGCAAGGTAGACCAGCTGGCTGCTCCCTTACTCTGTGAATATCCCCACTCCATGTTGTGTCCACACTCATAGGAGGGCCTGGAGAAAATGGCTGAGCAGCCCTTTCCCCTGCCTTGTTCTGTGCCAGAACTCTACTCCTGGTTAGTTTGTCTTCAAGGCCTCAGTTCACAGAGGCATCAGGACAGAATGTTCCCCTCTGCCTGAAGCTGTAAACAAATCTGTCCCACCTATGAGATTGTGGAGCCCCTAGGTACAGATTCAGGTTTCAACCCAGCCTCTACCTAGGCACTCCATACTGAAGAATATGGTTGCTGTTGTTGAGCCGTGCCTCTATTTTCCTGAGAATGCACCAGTAATGTTACAGTGGGTCTTCAGAGGCAAAGGCACCCCTCCCCTTCAGGGCACATCAGAAGTGTTACTTTTTTTTTCTTATTTTATGGGATACCCAGGTTGCTCTGCTCTGTATACCCTTCTGTCAATGGTGCACAGCACACTACTGTTCCCTGAGGTTGCCTCTGTACTGCCAGTCTGATTCCTCTGCCCAGCTCTGGCAGCCTGTCCCATCCCCTATTTTCTGGTTTACATCTAGGGCTGGGGGTCACAGGAACCCTTTGTGCCTGTTTATTAGTTCTGTCAGTCAAAAGCTATTCTGTACAGATAAGAGTATTGGAGGTTCCCCCTCCATCCCGCTGACCTCTCCTTTGGAGATGGGGAGGCCCAGTGATTAAATGCTGTTCCTCCTTTCCAACTCCCTCCCTGTGGGACCAGTCTCACACTATTTTCCTTTTTCTTTTTTCCTCTTCTCCTACCAGATTCATGGCATATTTTGTCTTTTGAAGAAAGTGATGTTCTGTCAAAGTTCAGTAGGTGTTCTGATTGGCTGGGTGTGTCCGTGGATGTCAGTCTTGGTGTATTTGTGGGAGAGGGTGAGCTACGAGCATCCTTCTACTTTTCCACCTTGGCCCTTCTCCCCTCATTATAGTTTTGATTTGCATTTCTCTAATAATTTGTGATATCGAACATTTTTTCTTGTTTAGATCTTCTGCCCATTTTGGGATTTTGTTGTTGTTGTTGTTATTAAGTTGTATGTGTTGTTTATATATTCTGAAGATTAAGCCCTTGTCCATCTCATCTTTTGCAAATATTTTCTCCCATTCTGTAGGTTGTTTTTTTTTGTTTGTTTTGCTTATGGTTTCCTTTGCTATGCAAAAGCTTATAAATTTAATTAGGTCCCATTTGTTTATTTTTGCTTTCCTTTCTATTTCTTGGATAGTTTGCCCTAATCTCTTAGGTCATTGCTGAGACTTATGTCACATAATGTTTTGCCTATTTTTTTATAAGAAGTTTATATTGTCTTGTTTTATGTTTAAGTCTTTGATCAATTTTGAGTTTATTTTGTGTATGCTTTGAGGGAGTATTTTAACTTCATTGCTTTATATGCAACTGTCCAGTTTTCCCAACACCATTTGCTGAAGAGACTGTCTTTTCTCCATATATGTTCTTGCCTTCTTTGTCAAATATTAATTGACCAAAAATGTGTAGCTTTATTTCTGGGCTGTCTATTCTGTTCCATTGATCTATATGTTTGTTTATATACAAATACCATTCTGTTTTGATTAGTGTAGCTCTGTAGTATTGTCTAAAGCCAGGGAGAATTATTCTTCCAGCTTTATTCTTTTTCTTCAGTAATGCTATGGCAATTTTGGGTCTTTTGTGAATCTATATAAGTTTTAGGATTATTTGTTCTAGTTCTGTGAAAATTTTGATAGGGATCATTTTAAATCTGTAGATTGCTTTGGGTGGTATGGCCATTTTTACATTATTTCTTATGATCCAAGAACATAGGATGTCTTTCCATCTCAAGTCATCTTTAACTTCCTTAGTCAATGTTTT